CTTTCTTAAACAATAAATATATTTATTAAAAATTTTTATTTTATTTTTTATTAAAAAAGTTGTTTATTAAAAAAGTTTTATAAAAAACACGCTTTAATTGTACCGGCAGCCGGCCCCACGATCACAGCAGAACCCCCCGGTACCATTCTACAGCAGTCCGGTAGATCAACTAGCTATGCTAAGAGCTACAGGAGCTAAGCTAAAGAGCCGACCACCGGCTACATGCTATCCCGCAGCAAAGAGCCTCGGGCCGGCTGAATACACAGCAGTCACCCGCACACACACGGTCTGGCAGATGAGCTCCCTCCTTTGCCGCAGTGATCTGTTCAAAGGTCCGGCAGATGAGCTACCTTATTAGCTGCTGTGATCCATCCAGAGGTCCGGTAGATCGGCTCCCTCCTTAGCCGCTGTGATCCGTTCAAAGGTCCGGCAGATGGCTACCTGGTTAGCCGCTACCTGACTCAGGCGATCGATGGTGATGTCACCTCTGGTGCCGGAAAGTCTGGTAAACAAGCGTGCAGCTGGTGGAGCCCAGTTCGTCTCACGGATCCGGCTACTCTTTTCACGGCTCAAGGGTGACGGTCAAATACATAAGCACCACACCCGCTTCCGGGTCACGTGACCAAGCTGGTCCAGCGGCAAAGTGTCTGCCTCCGATGCGGCGGAGGTTTTTCTTTTTTTGATAAAAATATAGATAAATTGTAGCCTGGTCCTCCACGACCACCAGGGACTGGTTCCCCACAGACTGGGCTTCCAGAACCAGTGGAACCCATGCAGAGCACCATGGGCCGGCCTGGTTCCCCACAGGCCTCCAGAACCAGGTCAGCCCATGCAGCCCCTCTCCCCAGGGACAGGTGTCGACATCAGGGGACAGTAGTCGGCAGATCTGGGCCTCCAGAACCAGCAGGTCTGGTTCCCCACAGACTAGCCTCCAGAACCAGTGCAGCCCCTCACCCCAGGGACAGGTGTCGACATCAGGGGACAGTAGTTGGCAGATCTGGGCCTCCAGAACCAGCTGACCAGCAGGTCTGGTTCCCCACAGGCCTCCAGAACCAGTGCAGCCCATGCAGCCCCTCACCCCAAAGACAGATCACCACGGGCCTGCATGGAGACGGGCTGAGCACTCCCTTTGACCTCCAGAGAACCACGTGCAGGGCCCCTGCATTTTTAAAATGATCATTCAGGGGACAGATGTGAGCATTAAACGGACAGCAGGCGGCACAGGCGTTGACCTTTGACCTCCAGAGAACGTCACACAGGGCCCGTGGGCTCAGATCGGTGACCTGGAGCATTTTAAATAGGAAAGATTAAAGGGGAACGTAGGTGAGCATTTAAAATTCAACATTAGACTGCATTTACACACACGCAGCAGGACTGGGATCCACACACTGCGTGGCCTCCAGAACCAGCGGAGCAAGTGGAGCTCCTCTCCCCAGAGATGAAGCACTCTGGGCCCGCATCAACTTCCATGGAGCAGCCCCTGTTTCTCCAGAACCCACATCATGTCCCACTTACAACCCATTTTGCCCACCTCAGCCCACCACCGGCACTCAAACGCTCTAAAAACCCAATAGTGACCCATCTGTCCCACTTTGGACCCTTTGGCCATCCTCACCCCCTGTCAAATGCTCTGAAAACGCTCTAAAAGCACTTAATAGACCCATCTGGCCCTCTTTGGACCCCTTTGGCCCACCTCACCCCACCACCGGCACTCAAACGGTTAAAAAACACACAATTGACCCACTTTGGACCCCCTTCTGGCATTCCCAAAACCAAAGACAAGACTGCCACCCAGTGGCGGGTGCTCTGTATCGCAGAGGACCCCAAAAGGCCCACTTGAAACCCCTTTGGCACTGTTTGAGGAATACCGGACTGGCCCAAGTTGCTCTTCCTGCCATTTGGGACCTAAACGGGACAAGCCCTTGGATAATGAAGGGGACACTTAGGGCACTTTTGGTGAGGCCCCTAACCCTAAACCCTATTTTAATCTGATTCTAAAACCCTAACCCTTCTATTTTTTTATATCAATCTTCTAACCCTAAATCCTAGGCCTATTCCTAAACCTAAGCAGGATCTCTCATGATGATTTTATTCTGATTCTAAAAGCCTAATCTCTTACCCTGATAAATTTTCTAACCCTAAATCATAGGCCTATGCCGAAGGAATATTCTAACCCTGATTCTAATTGGACTCTAAATTTGAACTGTTTACTCGATAAGTCCTACTAAAGCTTAATTAAAATATTAAGTTAGGGAGACTGCTAGGGAGAGCCAGGAACAGTGATGGACTGTGCACTCAAAATCTGTCGCCTTTGGCGGCAGAATTTAATCTTGTTTTCCCCTAATTCTACAAACTGGCTTGGCCATGGATCTGAGAGATACCAACAAATGTGCGCCGGCCCGTGCAATGCCTTTGATCCTCTAACCAACTGCCCTAGTCGTCGGACTGGGTGGGGGGGTCATCGAGAGAGTGTCTAACGCCTAACCCTAACCCTAGCCTTGCTTGAAGCAGGAACGAGATGGGTTGGTGTGGCGGTGTAACCCCTCCCCCCACCATCCAGATTTAGGTTCACTTATTGGGTCATCTGATAATCCCGGGACCAACCACCGGTCCTGGTATTATTGGATGTGAGTGTTATGTGTGAATGTGCGTCAGTGTTTTTTTCTTTCTTTTTCTGTGTGGTGTGAGTGGGGGCACTAGGGTGGGAAGGCCTGATTGAGCCTGAGTTTTTTTTTTTTCTCCCAGGTTGGGGTCTGAACTACTCCCTCTCCCAAGCACATCTCAAGTCTTGGCTTAGTGCGGAGCCCATTCCCCCTGTCCTGCTCTCCCTCCGCTGGCTGGCGCCTGGGGTCGCCGGTGCACTGGTGGAGCTCGGGGTTTGAGGGTGTATGCCTGGGTGGCTACTGGCTCATTCCTGGCGGCTTCTTTGCGGGGCCCGGCCGGCCGGGACTCCTGCAGGGGGTGGGATGCCCCTCTCCCTCCTCCCTTGGTGGGGGTCAGATTTCCTGGGTTTTCCCCCTTCTTGGTTCCTTCACTCTTGGGGTCCCTTTGGGCATCTGGGGCTTTGGGTCTCCCAGCGCTGGGCTCAGTACTCTAGGGGGGCGCCTGATCTAAAACTCCCTGCATAATTATAATAAAGCGATTTATATGCATGACTCAAGCGAAACACTATTGCAATAGCCCTACTGCTCCAATAGTGAAAGTAAAATCTGTTGGGCTTTTTTTGGTATCAAGACAACTATTCTTGTTGCCACATTGCCAGACAGGACTATCAACAAAAAAAAGGCACGGATCGCAGTGTCCCATCGTGCGTAGAGCCCTGCTGAACTGGGTGAGATAGGTATCTCCGGAGTTGAGCGCTGTGTGGAAGTTCCCCCCTTTGTGAGGACCTCACTTCTGAATCATGGCCTATCTGCAGGGAGACGCTTCTAGTTTTGATAGCTGAAAGTAACCTTCCTTGATCTCTAAGAGCCGAACAAGTTCCTCTGCTGTTGCATCAGACCTATCTAACACTCTTCAGAGAACAGACTGCAGCACTTGATTGCAGAGAAGCTGGCTCGGAGCTCGTCTGCCTGGCTGTGTGTTTCCTAGACGGGGCCGCCTGTGGAGCTGGTTGACAGTTGCCTTTTGTATTTATGCTTCTTTTTCTATGTCTGCTTCTGTCTCCTTGAACCCCAGT